TCTCCTTCATACAACATATACTGGAGTTTCACCTTGAGGATGGGGCCCAAACACTCAAATAGACTTTGAATGGACAAACAGACGGAGCCTCTTTGCCGTCTGCTGATGGCTGCTGAGTCATTCGCACGTCTTGGAGCAGTAGTCCGAACAGAATCTGGGAGCTCATGCTCACATGCTGCTGAAATCCGAAGGGAAGTGCCTCATCCAACTCCAACATAAACATGCTTCAACTGCACAGGACCTGCATACGTCTCTTCTGCATTGCTTGTACACAGCACACTCTTTAAGTGGAGCCACAAGCATTAAGAGTAAACACTGGGTTCTCTCATAAGATGCTTAGTAAATATTTGTAGTTCGGCATGCATTAAAGGGACGGGGATATGATGGACCCGGAGCAGCGACGATCAAGCATGACCACCCCTGGCTGAGTCCCTCCACTCACCCTGCCATGGCGGAGAACAACCTCGCCTGAAAATAAGGTACTGATTATAAATTTAGATTCTGTAAGTTAGAGACGCCGAGACCGAATGAAAGCAGATGTTTAATATGGCCTCCGGTCATGTCGGTGGTTTTTCTCTGCAAATGGTTGAAACATCCTCGTTGGACGTTAGGAATACGTTTGGATTATCAACAATGTTTTCCTAATACACATCAAACAACCTAGAAAATACAAATATAGAGGAAAATTTTAGAGAATTAATGCATTTCTTTAACTTTTTTTTTTAATATATTTTGAGAAAAAACACAAATACAAACTACTTTTTCAGACATTTCACTGCTAGTAGCATAAACTGGAATCTCCAATAAAAGTGGATTGAAATCCCAGCTGTGGACACTGGCTGTAGATAGATAGATAGATAGATAGATAGATAGATAGATAGATAGATAGATAGATAGATAGATAGATAGATAGATAGATAGATAGATAGATAGATAGATAGATAGATAGATAGATAGATAGATAGATAGATAGATAGATAGATAGATAGATAGATAGATAGATAGATAGATAGATAGATAGATAGAAAGAAAGAAAGAAAGAAAGAAAGAAAGAAAGAAAGAAAGAAAGAAAGAAAGAAAGAAAGAAAGAAAGAAAGAAAGAAAGAAAGAAAGAAAGAAAGAAAGAAAGAAAGAAAGAAAGAAAGAAAGAAAGAAAGAAAGAAAGAAAGAAAGAAAGAAAGAAAGAAAGACGACCGCTAGCACAAACAATCATGATTCTGTGTTTACTGGTGATAAAATCACAGAAGTGTTTCTTTGTCAGACTATTAAGCTAACATTGGCATCAGAAAGTAGTGACTCACTTCAAATAAAACTTTTTTTCTAACTGCAACTTCCTCTGAATCCACATTTTTATGTGAATGTCATCAGATTGGAGCTGTCAGCCTTATCTCTAGTGGAAGTTTGCATTTTGGCTTAAAAGGTGTTAAATCTGCCTTCTTATTACCCAATAGTACAACCAAACATACCGTTCAAGTGCTTCTGAGTAATTGTCTAAATTGACTGCATGTAATAAACAAAAAATGAGATTACTTCACTCACCAAAAACCTTCTGTACACATTGTTTCTTTGACAGAATAGGGTCAGGTGAAGTTAACAGACACACACAGGTACACAGAAGGGACTTTCAAGGGTTGATTTACAACCGCTAGGTGACTCAGAGCTTTAGTGGCAGGAGGAGATTCAGGGCCTCTCCCTTTCTAGAAGGAGAGATTAAACTTTCACTTTAGTTATTGCAGGCAGTTATAGCTCATTAAAGAGAGGAAGTTTTGGCTTCAATATTTTACTTTAATAAGTGAATCAGTCGACTATATGGCTGCAGGGAAAACATGATCAAATGGAGGGTTAGGACCTGGTCAGGATCTAATTTGGCAAGAGGGGAGGCTGCTTTCTTCTTTTTGGCCAGCTTCCACCCATATGTTCCACATATACAACGCTGAACATTTTTACATTTTCTCTAATTACAGCCACCAGCTTTTTTGGGGGAGACTTGGAGCATTTTATGCAATAGATCAAACACTAAGTAGTGCATAATTTGGAATCAGAAGTACAATGATATATATTGTTTGCAACATCTTTTTCAGATTAAAAACAGTCCCCCTGAGTAGAAACAGCTTTCAGAAGGTGTCTCTATTTCAGTGTGTGTCTCTTTGAGTGTTGCATGTCTACAGATTGAATTTTTTTGTCTTTGCAAAATAGCTCAAAATCAGGTTAGACGGGAAGCATTTGTGAACATAGTTTTCAAATCTTGTTCCAGATATTCATTTGGTTTTGGAACTGGATAAACCATTTACTGAGATCATGAACCATTATAACCAGTTTCCCAGCTGAGCTGGGAATCACTGCAGTTATAATGTACCTTTAGGCTGCCTGTCTAATCGTTGCTCTACTTACAAAGCCTCAATAGATCTGAAGTTGCACAATAGTCCTCCCATTTTCAGAAGATGAACCAAAAGAGCTCTGTAAGATGTCTAAAGCGTTGGATGTTATTTCACAACCCACCCTTGTTTTAAACATCTCCATAACGTTATCTTTGACATGTCTGCTGTTTTCCTCCATCCTCATGATGCTGCTTGTTCATTGATTCCCTCAAACAAACCTTAGAGACCAGAAACAGAAACCAAATGTATTTTTGTAGGAGTATCAGATTAAATACAAACTTTGTTTTTAAAATAAACATCTTTTTCTTCCTTGGACATATAAAATCCAACTTAAACACATTGAGGTTTTGGGATTCAGCCTTATAGAATAAAAAAAATAAAAAAAAAATCAAGGAGTCATAAAATTGTATAAAGGCAACAAATATTAGCTTAAACTATGATATGCCATTACCACTTGACCCCCAGGTCTGGGTTGTGTATGCCCAAACAATACCAGGACGAGCGCCTGACTTCCCAGAGCCGCAGTGGAACGCAAATAGCAACTTCTAGAAGCCGTCAGCCGCGACTACAGAAGAGAAGGGAAGCTGGCGGAGGAGGAAAAACAACAGGACCGAAGAAGAGGTGGAAATGGGTGGTGGCCAGGAAGCACGACTCTTCCTGCCCTAATCACAACTCATAGAGTGTTTCCTTTCATTGTAGCAACTCAAGGCACCATTAACCAGCCAGGGCCCTGGATGCACTGATACACGAACATGGCTACATATACGCACTTCACAGAAAAACTTTATTCCTTTATTACCAGCACGACCGAAACAAAGTCAATATATGACATTGATCACAGAGTGGCTGGATAAAACACAACCATGCTCACCCACACACTGAGTCACAGGTACTTGTATCCTTCTTGGCAGAGAGCCGGCTCAATGTGCGGCCCTACGGCTCTGCTCTGATAAACACTTCATTATGAAATCCTGAGGACACAGTAAATATTTGCCAAGACCCTTATCATGCCGCCTTATCTTGGCGTGAACTCCAGGCACCGCATGACACTTGGGTTCTTTATTTTCTTAATGCCTTTGCTACTGACGATAACTGGTTAAGAATGGCCCCATGGAAGAAAAAAAAAGAGAAGGAAAGAAAAATACCACTCTTCTTTGAAAGCCTCCTGCAAATCCAGGCAAAACAACAACAAACTGAGCCTCGTAGGGAAATGTAGAACAGCTCTTTCAGCTAGTCTAGACGTGAGCAAATGTGAAGCAGAGCAAAGCAGCTCAGGTGACTGATAGCTGAAACACATTTACAGCTGCAGAGTTAATCAGTTATATGCTGATGACTGTGTCCACGCATTCATCCCTGACCTGGTTCACAGCCGTACAGCCCCAATGGTGGATCACTGACGGGTCAAACATCATTTAGGGTCATATAAATCTAATTGTAGCGGTCTGAACAAACAGCTACATGTTGATTATCAGCTTTTCAGTCACTGTGCCTCTGCTTTACTGCCATTGTCCTATTTTAATCTACAAATCAAAGCTTACCTTCACTCCTGTTAAAATGTAAACCTAAGGTTTCACATTCAAAACTTAATAAAAACTTTTGTTTAAATTCTGATATCACATGTGAAAATATCACACAACTTTCGTCTTTTCTTTAAAAAAAAAAAGAAATAAATTGAGAAAACTAAACCCACCCTTGATCAAAGGTTCTTAATTAACCGATAATCATCAGAGTGAACCCTTCTTTGAATGAATGAGCTTTCGGCAGATTGTTACTCTAGAGCAGACAAGAGAACAATATCAGCAATGACCATAAAGAGGCAACTGGTTGTGAACCCATTGATCTGAGGGAGGGCTACCTAAGGCTAGTGTTAAGCCATAAATCCTCCATTCTACAGATTATTCACCTTTGGAAAGCATTTCAAAGCCTTTGTAACCTTCACATAAGAAGACATCCTAGTGAATTTACTGTAGGGCACAAATCACAGGCAGCTGACAGTCATGACCAAAGTTTGCCTATAATTCAGAATTCCTCACTGGATGAAAAATGATATGCAAGGTTTCAGCTGTGAAGCATGACGGTGGCAGGTAAGTGACTTGGGCTTGTTTCAGAGATCAGATAAGACTGAGCGTAGACATGTATGGAACCAACCCCACACCGCATATCAAAACAAATGCTTGATATTATGGGGATGACTCGGGCTTATATAGCAGCACATCTGGGTCATCAATCGGACGGAGAGTCAAAGTTCAGAATCAAGCCCACCTGAAACTTTGCAGTGCTGCTATAGGGTAGCGGTGAATGAATATGTGAAAAAAGAGGGGGCTCAAAATCTCTCCCTGCTGGACTGATGTTGATCTGAAAGGAGAAACTGGAAGTTGTAGCTGCTAAATATGATGAGCTGTTACATCATGTTTACTTAACACAGTAGTGGAGAGGTAGTGATCTGGGCTTGTTATGCAGGTAAGGGTCCTGTAGTCATTGACTCAACTTATAGAGTGTGGATTGAATTATTGTGATTGGATAAGTAGTTTTTGAGGAAAATTTCATATTTCCTGATATATAAAAGAGAAGCTTTTTAAAGGGGGTGTAGATTTTACTTTGAAATAAAAAATTCACAACTCCTTTGTCCAAAATTGATTTTTATTGGGAGAACTACAAAAAAATGTACAGTACAAAGTTAACAGTCTCACACTCAATTTGTAGTGAACTGACTCCCCAAAAGAAAAACATCACAACTCTCGTTGTCTTTTTGTCCGTTTTTTTTGTTACATTCAAAAAGCTTTACTTCTGATAAAGTAGTCAAAAGTACATAGTGCGCATCCCCCTGTACCTACTATGTACAAACCAAAATGTGTTTGTCCACTTCCCTCTGCAGCAAACTCAAGACTAGATTTTAATATATATATATATAGATCTATATATATATAAAAAATAAAATAAAAAAGGAAGAGGAATAGGGACTTGCAGAAAGGTTAAGGTTGCTTCTGTCAGAGTCTGAGTGGTGACAACCTGAAAAGTTGCAGAATCCAACACTACATTCAGCTCAATGTGTATATAAAAATATGCCATGTAGGAAAAATACTTTATTTGGTTAATTTTAAGGCATGTAAAAAGATGGTGAACCCCATAGGCACTACACTAATACTGGGGCACAAGGGATTGCTACATTCTTTAGCACGTGGCTGGAATCACAGTGTGACCTCGTGCAAAAACAGGAGGAAAAAAAAATAAAAATACTTTTTGGTTAATTTATTGACTTGGGTTCTTTGTCACTGACGTCTAGACTAGATCGACAAAAAGAAACAAGGTCTGGACGGTCTGTACAACCTCAGTTTATACATTCTACAGAACATCTAAAGTATGGATCCTCCTAGGGGGAAGGGGAAAAAATAAAAATAAAGACCTTCGACAGCACTGACACAGCCTCAGGAGCAAACAGCAATCACACAAACTGTTTTAATAAACGTAAACAAGGAAACAAAATTAATGAAATAAATATCACATACGTTCTCTTAAATTAAGATTTTTTTTTTTTACTCACAATAAAAATAAACAAGTGAAGTTACAAAAAAAAAAAAAGGAGAAAACAATATATATATTACTGTGAAAAGAACATACACTCCACTTTATGCAGATTAATAATGGCGATCATAATTTAAACATAAAAGAATATAGATCTATTGCTTCATCATACTTGATAAATACAGTATGGACAAATTACCAATGTAGCCTATACTTTTTTCACAAGATAATAAATAAGTTAAATAGTCCATAGCAAGTTATGCACTGCTATGCAAATCACTCAAAAAAAAAAAAGCTAAAAAAATAGATATATATATATATTCAACCATCAGCAGTGATTTCCCCAAACAAGCCCAACTCAAGAGTGCTTTTTAACCAAGCAACAAACTACTGCAGACTAACCAAACCAACCACTGGGTGGCGCTAGAAGGCGGCAGATCTGGAATGGAAGTTGAAGAATAAAAAAAAAAAAAAAAGAAAAGTGTTACTTTAAGTCAAGGCATATTCTTGGCAGGATGGGAGGAAATCTGAAACCGCTTAAAGTCTTTTTTTTTTCTTGTCAAGTCTTGATACACACATCTAATCCCAGGAAAAGTGTGGCTTGCCTGATAGAGCAGTTAGAAAGGGAGAGAGAAAGAGGCTGCCAGGAGCCCCATGGGCAAGGCACTGATGGAATGCCTTCTGTTTGCTAACTAAGTTTTATTACAGCTATAATACATACAAACACTATTACACTAATGCCTGGTCAAGGATACTTAAAGTGAAGCTTAGATGATCCTCATGGAACTAGAGATGCACCGATCAGAGGGGCCACAGCTCACAATCAGAACATTTTCCTTGTAATCAGCAGGTGAAATACTGAAAAATCACAATAAAAAAAAAAACACCAGATATTTTTGATCCATACAGTTAATGCATCAAAACTAATTCTGATTACTAAAAAAGAAAAAAAAAGAAAAAAGGTCAACAACTCCTGTTGTCTGCTGGATTTGAACTACTTTTTATCAAGGAACCTGCAGCACTTTTCTCCTTTTCTGTGTCCTTAATAGTGAGGAAAAACAAAATAATCGGTAGCTTAGAGCTCTGGATCGGCTGTGTGAAAGCCCAATCGGTGCATCTTTAGTGGAAACTGGTCTCTTGTTCCCCCCTCCAGGGAGGTCTGAGCAGGGGCTGCACCCCTGCAGCTGGTGGGTAATCAAAAGTCTTGCTTAAAGGCACATCAGCAGGGTGGCTGCTGCTGAAATGAGAAGCAGGAGGTGCGGGCACCTCCTCACTCAAATCAAGCCGTGCATAATCCAAGCAGAAAAAACAAACATTATTTAGTCATCAGAAATCGACAGCCTGCTGAAGATTGGCAAACGCCTTCCAGCGTCTAGGATCGGGGACTCGGAGCCGCTGAGGCTCCCGGAAGAGCTGAGGGACCCGCTCGCGTAGCTCTCCCGGTCTGAGAGCGAGTCCGGCGGGCTGGGCGGAGGCTCGAACACCGGGGACTCGCTGAGGCGGCGCAGCGCCTGCAGGCTCACGCTGCCCGGCGCGTTCCCGTAGAAGGCACCGCTGGAGTGGTTGTTCGCGTAGGGGGTGTGCACGGCCAGCGGGGCCAGTAAGGCTTTCAGGTCCTGCCCGGGGAAAGAGAAGGCGCTGTTGATGCAGGGCATGGAGCTGGGCGACAGGACGTCGTCGTAAAAGCTGGAGGCGGAGGTGCAGGACGAGGCGGAGGTTGGGGGCGGCGGGGTCCGGGACGTGGGGCTGTCGAGCAGCGGGGATTCGAGTCCGTGATGGGTGGAGAAGCCTGAGAAGCTGAGGCTGTGGTGGAGCTTTGGTCTCTCTCTCTGGCTGTAGGCGAGCTGCTGCTGCTGCTGCTGTGACTGCAGGCCGTCCCTCTGGCTGTAGCCGCGGGGCTCCACCGCCTGCATGTTGGCGTTGGCGGGCGGCGCGGGCCGCCGCTCGTCTGCGTTGTGGATGAAGTGGCACCGGGGACCGTAGGGGCAGAAGCCGATGGTGTGGAAGGTGCGGCACGGCTCCGTTTTGTACTTCGGGTGGCGCGTCAGGCTCCGCAGCTCGTGGTAGCCGTGAGCGAACTGACACTTTTCTCCGTATTTGCACGAGCCGTTCTCCTCAAAGGGCCGACACAGCTCGGTCTTGTAGCGGGTGGAGTTGATCTGCGAGGCGGGCTTCTGTTGCAGCACGCCCCGCTCCGCGCTCTCGCTGTAGGCGCGGTCACGGAACTTATTCTCCTTGTTCATGAGTGCCGTGCCGCCGCCGCCGCCGCTGGGGGAGTTGTCCTTCATGCAGCTGCCGTAGGAGCCCAGCGAGTACTTGTTGCCGTTACTCATTGCCTCCAGGTTGCTGGTGGAGTTTCTGCGGAAAAATCCCGACGTGAAGGAGCCTCCGGAGCCCAGCGCGGACACCGGAGCGCCCACCGCCTTCTTATCCAGCATGCTGTTGATGTGGAGGGCGTTCATGTTCATGCTTTTCTCCTGCTGGTGACAAGAACAGATAAGCGTCTATTTCTGCTTACATGTGTTTGGGACTCAACCTGCAACAAGTTGCATCCAAACACGTGCAGAGGCGCGCCAATAAAAAAGCAGAATAAGTTGTTTTTGTTGTTGTTTACCTTGTAAAGCATGTCCATGTCGTAGAAAGTAGACAGCACCGTCGCTGACATCTCGTCTCTTCCCCAAATCTGCTGCCGCACTCCGTCTTTCATGGAGGACCGAGCGGGATCCTGCGCTGCAACCGGGTGTTTGGGCCACGACTGGTGCTTTTTATTTAAAAGAAAGTTGTGGAAAAGTTATAAAAGTTGCCCAAAAAGTTTCTTGCAGTTTAAGTCCGAGGGGGGGAGGTGAAATAAAAGTGTAGAGATAGAGGAGGTTGGTGTGAGGAGCTGTGTCTGCAGTCTCCTCCCCTCTTGTAGAGCTGAACCAGAGTGCTTCACCGCGAGGAACTCAGCCTATAAATGCAACACTGTGGCCGGGGAGGGGCGACTCGACTACGGGCAAACTTTTCTCCAAAAGTCGCCTCCTCCGCCCCTGCCCCACCTCCATCCTCCCTCCGGTTGGCCGCCTGTTCTGTCACCACGCCTTGAAATCCAACCCTTGACTCAGACTCCCTCCTTTGGCTGCACACACCCCAGAAAACTTCTGGAAGTGAGTTTAAAAACTGACAGACGGGATTTTGGGACAGAGTTGTTCAAACCAGGTCTAGAAAGTTTAGAGATTAGCTCAGATTATTTGCATTTCCAGCTCCAGGAGCACAGACAGGAAGAGGATGAAGGAAAACTAGGGTTTATTATTATTAACTCTAAAGCTGATACCCATCATTTTATTAGAAATAAGTGAAACTCATTTGAAAACACTGTTAATTTTACAGTAATATGCAATTTCATCAAGATATAATCTGCCGTTCCCTATTAATAAGCTTCAATGGCTGAAGTGACATCACATTTGGGTCATGTCCACAATATTATCCAGCTAATTTAAATTCTGGATTCCTAAACAATCTGAAAAAGTATCTATCTATCTATCTATCTATCTATCTATCTATCTATCTATCTATCTATCTGCAGCAAAATGAGAACTTGTCAAAGTTTTTTTTTTTCATGATGTCATCAAGTCAAAAATGCACAAATCAGTTTTTGCATTTAGTTTCCTCAGCGCCTTTTTAAATTAAACAAAGTCCTGCAGTCATAATTAACGCTTTGTCATCAAACTATGTTCTACCAGGAGTTTGCATTTGTCAGGGAATACAAATATACAGCCAATGAGTGTCTTCATTAATCCAATTACTCACTGTGAGCTGACAGAGGTGCACAGTGGTTGATCAGCCACATTCTTTGAGGTTAACGCAAAAGAGCAACAACAAAAAAAAATCATTGCAATGTCACTTTGTGTCCTTGCAGATTGTCTTTATATGAGTGCTGCAATAGGTTTTACAAAACAAAGGTGAAAACTCCTTTTTTTAGGTCAGGGCAGCAATCAGGCTTAATCTTGACATGAATTAATGTGAATTAATTCAGGCTTATTGGTTGCACTTGAAACAGGAATTTCAAGTCTCATCTTTCGGAAGAACAAAGGGCTATAATACAAAGTAATTAGACTGATAAAATAAAAATGTGTTTATATTCTTCCCCTCCTAATCTGGCAACCCTGCAGAGAAAGATCTCCATGCAAACACTGCCTGTCGTTATAATGAAGTGCATCTTTTTACATGAGGTCCTACTGTGAAGATAAGAGCTCAATGGGTGCATTTTAAATGACAGAGGGGAGAAAAAGTCCTGGAGATTTGAACCTTCCCCCTCTTTAGCCTCTGGCTGGAGAGCTGATGCATGTTTCTGTGATGGAAGGAAACTGTGTGCCCCCCCTCTTCCTCCATTCTCTCTCCTCGTGGATGGGGTCAGACCACAAATATGGGCCAGGAAGAGTCCAGACAAGAATGCGGGACAATTTTTAGAATCCCCTGATTGCATAATCAGCTTCCACACTGCAAGAAAACCATGTGTCAAAACTAAACCTTGAGTTGATTTTGATTTGTAATAATAAAAAAAATGCATGCATGATTCTATTTAGTAGGAACCCATTTTTTTCCCTCTCTCACTCACTTGTTTACTTTCCTCTTCTGTCTCAGGGCTCAGACTGCAGGAATGCAGTTTTCGTGTGGAACAGCAGAGCAATACTGCCCCCTAGAGAGCAAACCTACACCTAACTTCTATATTCAAAAAGCCACATTTTCAACATGATTTTACCTGCCATGCTCACACGATTTCCCTCTTGTAATCAAAACATTTAGTCTCTATATTATCTCTTAGCCCTTTTCAATATAAGAATAGATGCGATCATGTGAATTAAATTTAGTTCTTAATAGGGATGTTCAGTCAGACATTTCTTAAAAAGCAAAAAATATTGTGTCCAAAACTGATTCCCTCAAAATAGTACATTTTTATCCAAAAGTATTTATTTTCCACTGACATTTTCATGTTATTATAAACTCCAGTTTTACTAGGATTAATGAAATGGAAAAATGTAAATAAAATAGAATAAAATCTGAAGTGTTGTCCCTTTATTATAAAGTTTCCCCATGTTAATACATTATAGAAGCAACTTGAACCAAAGTTAAAGCTGCAGGTCTTTTAAAGCATATCTGTACATTTCCAGACCAATGGGTCTCCCCTTTCTTAAGTTAAACTGGGCTGGATGAAGAATGTCTGAGAGGCTGAATTTTCAAGCCTTGCCACAAATTCTCAGTTCTATTTGGGTCCGGCGCTCAAGGGTTGGCGCTTTGTGTATTTTAGCCGCATGTCTGGTCCAACAAACCTGAATGAAATGAGTTAATGCAGACAGGTTCTACTGAGCTCAAATGTAATGACGGCTAATGCCTTAAACACATTAGCCTTTAGGTTTACACCTTGATATAAACTGTTTTGAAGTTGCAAGTTGGAAGGTGAAACTCTGCCCCTGTATTTCTTCAACAGGTTTCCTCCACTTTGTCCAGTGCTGAACACCACCCGTCTTCCCTCCTTCAATGTTTCACAGCAAAGCAAACTGGACATTTTACTCCATCTCCCTATACTCTACAGCAGGGGTGCTCAATTCCAGTCTTCAACAGCTACTATCCTGCAACTATTTGATGCAACCATGTTTAACACACCTGAATCTCGTTATGACGCCTCTGCTGAGCTAAATGAGGGGATTGAAGCTTTAGATTCAGGGGTGCTAGAGAAGAGATGCATCTAAAAGTTAAAGGATGGTAGCTCTTGAGGACTGGACTTGAGCACCCCTGCTCTATAGTATTAGGGACAAACTGCAAACAGGACATCTGCTGTCTTTCTTCTCCCCACTCTTCCATAAAGATCTTATCTGTGGAGTCAATCACTAATAGTTATTTTGTTAGCACATTCTCCTGTGGATCTCTGCAGCTCCTCCAGAGTTACCTCTGTCTTTTGTTTGTTATTCCAATATTCCCTAACAAAAGGTCACAGAAAAGTTGGATTTACTTTATGATCAAAGTACACTCCTGTGGACTGTTTTCACCATTTAGAATCTGGCTAATATTTAAAGACGGAGTGAAGTCGCCTCAGTACATATTTCTGCCACACTTTGCAGTTTTTCCTTTGTAAAAAAATATGTTTGAAAACCATATATCCTTTCCTTCTATTTCCCTATTATAAACTACTCAGTGTTGGTCGAACACATCTTCAGTTAAACAGTCAAATAATGTAATATAGCTCCTTAACAGCAAAGCAATGGCTCCTTTCCAACAATAATATAAAGGATCATCTGCCTCCACCTCGTACTACTTTCCACAATGTCTTAATTAAGTCTGGAAAAGATAAACCACCCAGTCAAGGCTCAGCAGATGGCTTTTATAGCTTCTGGGAAACTTTATTCATCTATGTTACAAAGTAAACTCCCATACAGTAAACTGACTGTAAGGGTGCATGTCTAATTTAAATATTATTCCAATTTAATTCTTATGGTCATGAAAATCTTATGAAATATTTTTTCCAGAGTACTGATAAAACGCTAAAATGCCGTAAGATGACTAAGGGTTTCAGGATGTCATAGAGATCTAATGATAGGCTTGGGAGATAAACGCTTTTCTTGCTTTTAAAGTGTAAATGAAATATCTTAATCTTTTTTTAGTCTTATCCTGGAAATGTCTCAGAAAAACAACAAAAAAATAAATAAATAACTGAAACCCACAGTGGAATTTTGCAGAGTTGGCAGCAAAGGATGAGGCTCTAAAAGGCAGATATTACAGTCAGGAGGCCATAAAAAAATAACCCAGTGCCACACATATCACAGAAATTGCTGGTTTTTGCAACACATATATTGTCATAATTCAAGGAGTGGTTACACAATAATACTCTTTACGACATGACTGAAAATACGCTCAAGTACTGAATGGTTTGGTTCAAAAAGAAAAAAAAAAAAAAAAAAAGGGAAAATAGCAACAAGGGGAAAAACAAGTGACATAAGAGGTTGGAATCTACTACTACCAACCCTAAAATTAGTCTGAGGGCTGCCCCGGGACTATTTGGGCTCTGCAAAGTGGAGGACAATAGTTTAATGAGGAGGACGGACACGGCGAGGATCCTGAGAAATCCCTCGAACATGTCCCTCTGCAGAAACCGCTCAGCCCATCCCAGGGCTCTCTTTTTATTGAAGGGGAACGTCTGTCTGTTCCAAAACATTACATCAGTTTTACTGTAGCAGGGAACATGGACAGCAGGGACAGAGCAGGGTCCAGCTGCCTGAGAGGGCAACATGTCCACACCGAGACACAAAGAGAGCGAGAGAGGACAGAGCTCCATTGTGCCTGCCTCTTAATTACATAAGCGGCGAAACTAGAGGGAAGCTTAAAAACGCAGGCCGGTGGGAAGAATCCTGCTGTAAATTAAATCTCCCAGCAAAATAACACCTCGTATAAACACACGTTAGAGAAGGCCGGCACTTAAATGGAGCTCTGGTGACGTGTCAGCGCAAACGCTCACTCTCACAGGCCCATAAAGCTCAGCCTGCTGAAGTCCAGCTTCAGGCGGCGACTCGTTTAGTTTCAAACTAACAGACGTGCGTGAGAGAGAGAGTGCGTCGCTGAGAATGCTGCTTTGGCACAAGGTTTGGTTTGATCATTCATATGGCCTCCTCACAAAATCAGCTTCCAGCTAACTTTTTTTTACACCTTTAGAACAATTTAATGCTCGGTAAAGTCTCAACCAGACAGATGATTGTGTTTTACTGGGATGTACAGTTGATCTGCATTGTGTAAAATGAGGGAAATAATGCATTACCTTACCTACTGAAACCTGATGCTCTCATTGGATATGACCAAAAATATTCCACCTTCTGCACCAGTTTGCTGCAGCATTCTTCTCCACTCATCTTCCCATCAACCTTCTGCTAAAGAGGAGCATCTCCACAGCATGATGCTGCCACTTCCTTGCTTTAGAATAGGAATTATGTTTTTTTTTGGCATTTTATTTGTAATTTCTTTTAAAATCCAGACCAACTTTGTAGATTTGCATGTCTGTTAGTCATCCTAATGTCCAGAATGTCCCCTGACCTTTTGGCTGCTTCCCTGATTCTTTCTCTCCTTTTACAGCCTGTGGGTTTACGTGGCCTTCCTTTGTTCTGGTAGGTTTGAAGCTGTTTGGTGATGATTAAACACAACTCTGTTACTTTAACTCACCCCGAGTTTCTTGGTCTCTGATTTTGTAAGAAAAAAAACCCCCAAAGAACAAAGTAATTAAGGCCCCGTCCACACGAAGTCAAAACGAACACGAAACGCTAATATTTTCCAGAACGTTTGTCGTAAAGACAGAGACGTAAAATAAATGTGATCGTCCACACGAATACATGAAAACGCTGCAAAATGTATGCCAGGCCTGTAAGTGGCGCTGTCGTGCCAAAGCAAAAATAGGCGACGAAATGTTGGGCATGCGCACTAATATTTATACATGGTTGCCCTGCGGGTCCATTTTCGTGGTTCAGTCAAATTCAGGTGCTGAACTATGTCGTCGATATTGCTCTGTTCTTCCTGGAGATATTCCAGAAGAAGAAGATTCTGTTGTAAGCCCGACAGCAGGGTGAGTAGCATTAGCAGCAACCATTCAACACAGTACGGCGCCATTGTTGTTGTGATACCGTGTCGCATATGCGTGTTTAGAGGCAACGCTATGACGCATGCGTGTAAAATGCGGTTAGAGCTTAAAGATGGAAACACGAAAACGGCGTTTCAGAATCTTCCCACTCTGAAGGCTGATTAAAAAAAAGATCGTTTACAGACCCCCGAAACGCCGGCTTCGTGTGGATGAGAGGCTGGTTTGGTGAAAAATTTGTGCGTTTAGGCCAGGGTTCGGCTTCGTGTGGACGGGGCCTGAATGACCTTCTGAAGGCAACTGGTTTTACTGGAATAATTTAGGGATATCAGATTAAAAGAGGGGGGGGGGGGGGACACAGATTTAGCAATATTTCGGTATTTCTTTCTTTTATTTAAAAACAAGTTTTGTCATCCTTTAAATATTATGCACAGTTATTTGTTGGTCTGTGAACTAAAATCTTCATAAAATTCAGTCTGGCTGGCAGATTATGTAGGAGGATGGGATTCAGTTTCATTTCAGTTAAAACAAATAATAAAAAATAACTTTAATGAGTGAGACACAACTGTGAAATAAAACAAAGCAGCAGCAAAAACAGGTTTAAAAATGTATAAAAACTTAAAAATATGAATTAACTGGTTAATGTGAGCCTAGAGAGCGCATCCAGAGCCAGCTCCGCCCTGTGGTGGCGGAGCGTCAGCCGAGCGTGCTCCATGGTGGAGGAGAACTGCGGCAGTCCTGGCAGGCGGTTCAGAGCCTGCTGGGAGATGAGCACTTTGTTCCGGGCCTGGGTTTGAAAGTGAAGGAGCTGGTCAGGATCCACAGCTCCAGCTCCTTGGTTCTGTTCTAACGTGTCGATGAGGGAGCAGAGATGCCGGTGGAGCAGCTTCACCCACTGCAGCGGCTCGGCCCAAAGGTTCAGCTCGCCCTTCTCAAACAGGAAGTCCTCTTCATCCTGGTCACAGCAGGAAGGACTCAGGTTAAGTAGACTGGACTTTGAACCCAGCTTACATTAGTTTATCACCTTGTTTAAAGCCGGACTTATTCTGAGAAACCATTTTTAAGCCGTAGAACGCAGACAGCAATGTTAATAAATAAATAAAAAATGAACCTGTTAGATGATAAATATCTTGTTCCTATGAAACAAATTATGCGCTGATTAATTTAAAGGTTTTATCCATCAGAACATGCTAACAGTGGGAGCTGAGCATTAAAAGCCCCAATCATTACACCACTGCCACCATGCATGATAGTTGGTTTTATTGTATTTTTGCTGATATGAAACTATTGCTGCAAACAGGCTCTTCCAGAATTCTTGTGGCTCATTTAAGTCAAATTTTCAAACCTGCTGCTACATTGTCCTCTCCTGGAGGCCTTTCTAGACAAGCTGTCATTGTTCAGTCTATTTTTAAAACTGTCTTTTCCTGAACTTTATAATTAGATATGCATAATGAGTTTTACACAATGATCTTTGGTCATCATTCCTCGGATTATTGCAGTTTGAATTTGGGGGAATATCTTTGGAGTTCTTTTAATGGGATGCTTAGCAACCAATAAAACCACTATATTTTATACAAAGGTATCGAATCACAGATCTAAGTGCAACAATAAATGAACGTCAAGTAAGGGTTGTTAATGCACTGAATGTACCTCATGGAAAGTTGACAATAATCAGACTTTCTCTGACTGATTTTATTCAACCCTTCTCCACTCCATCACATTTCTTACTCCATCACAGAAAATAATAATTACAGAGTAGACACTAAAAGTCAATTTTAGATTATTAAGAACCTGAATAAAACACAAAACAGATACTTTTCATTAAGTCCTATTGTATAAAACCTGAGAATAGAAACAGGGTGTACTTTCTTTTCACCATGACTGTCTATTTAGGAATCCATGGCCTTGGTTTATCTTTTAAAAAGTCCAAATAATCTGTTGGACTGACGGGCAGCCTGACTGTGTGGGTGGAGAGCAGAGACCTTGGTGTCTGCTGTTTTGTCTGCTAATGGAAGCAGAACAAAACAAGAGCAACCAGGTAGAAAACTGGACTTGTTCTTTTTTTAAAAAACAATAAAAACAGTGAGCCTAAGACAACCTAAACAAAACACTATATGACTAAACCAGCGTGATTTCTACATCTCCTATTCTACCATTAATAGATTAAACAGAACTGGCCTTTTGTTGAGGATGAACTTCACCAGGGACGTGTTTAGGAACCTATATTTTTGGGGGCTTATCCCCAGGTGAGATGTTTTAGTACATGGGCAACAAGAGTAAAAAATAAATAAATTGTTTAAAGTCCTTGAGTAGATTGGTTTGACATTTAAAATGCACCCATTTGGAGTTTACTTTGGTTATGTCTTTTTAAAATATATTAGAGAATAAGCTAATTGAAGATACAAATGTCAACAAAGCTCCGTCTCTGCATCAAACTGGCTATGCTATGTCCTCAACTGATCTGGAACAACAGAACATTATAGATTGAGATTGGTGGATAGCTGAACCCTGCACAGGCCAGTAGCCTAACAATATTGTTTTAAGTCAGCTTTGTATGCATTAGTTGGGTGAGTTCATAGATGCATGTTGTCATTACTAGCTGAAAGAAATATCAAAGTCACAATTTCCCATATTTTAGTAACCTACTTAAACTCTTAGTTGTTCTGTTAATGGAACGATGGTACCCACTGCCACCCACAACATGATGTGAGAGATTCAGAGAGAGGGAAATCAACATAGGCAGGCAGAAAGTGCTCTATATATATTTAATATTAACTCAAAATGACCTTTATAAAAAAATTCCTAGTATTTGATAGTTATTTGAACATGAATTAAGCTACTTTATAAAAGCCTGGAACTCAACGCTAATTCAGACATTTTGAATTCAGAAAGCTTCCTGGATGGGAAGCAAAACGTCTTCAAACTTGGAAAACAAAGACCAGTGGTTTGTTTTTTTAACTTTAACTTTTTGGAATGACGATGACCTAGATGACTAGGAATCTCCACCAGCAATTACGACTATATAAATCAGCCTTACGTCATTAAAATTCATAAAAGTCAATTAACAAAGGCACACAGTGGACGAGGCTGTGTGTAAATTAAATCCAAGGAGTATCAGCAGCTTCAAAGATCAAAAATTAAATATTATATTTACGCCTATATTCCAGTTTTTAGTTCTGTGGGGATCAGTGGAAACTTTGTGCATGTGTGATTTTCTTTTAAGGGGAAAACAGGAGAGTCACCATTCTTTCTCTGCAGATGTGGGCTGAAGCTGCTGCGTCTCACTATCGGTGTTTTGGAGGAGGAAGGGGCTCACTCACATCTCACTGAAGACAATAAACTCAGAGCAATCTGTGCTTTCATGCAGTCAAAGTCTCCCACAGAACAGGAAATAGTCGTCAGAATTGTTGCTAATCGCCTTTTTGTTAAAAAAATCAGCTCCCAGGGTCTGAAAGGTTGGGCAACAATGCTGCCACCAGCAGAGCAGCCCTCAGGTTATTGATGGGGGGCATGCAAGCCGAACACAGTCCACAATTTACATTATGACTGTTGACTTATTGAATGGGCGCAAGAGCTGATCTGGCAATAAAGACATTAGTTGGTTTGAGACAACATTTAGGGGAGGCTTTAGCCCCCTAAAATAGGCCTGAAGAAGAACACAGCTTACAGGCTTTTATCTCACAGAGATCTTAATGTGTTAAAATTCACCTGTATATACTTTATCTGAAAACGAAGGACAACCTATAGCAAAAGGCTTACCAGAGGCAAAGCTTCATCTGCCTCCTCCTCATCGCAGCCATCCTCTTCACCCATCAGCCACTGCATTAGGGTTAGAATGCCTGCACCCAGCTGCCCCCAAAGCTTAAACATCACACACAGGAGCTGCAGGGTCAGGTCCAAAGCTGCTAGAGGACAGACGGACCCACCGGCTACATCTGTGGACAAAAGAAATAAAAACATGTTTTTACAATGGCATAAAAGAAGTTTAAGATGCTGTGCAAATAGAACATGTTTGGGTTTTACAAACAGAAACGGCTTTTTGTTCCATTTTTTTTTTCCAGATTTTTGCTTGGGAGAATAATTTAATGCTTATCTGAAGACAAACAGTGTTCTCCATTGGAGTCATGCTCTTGTTTTGCTGATTTGTGCAAAGCAATGCATTTTCCTAATGGACAGTACTAATAAATCAACTCTGAGGACAAAATGTTCTCTTGCCGTCTAATCTATCTGACCAGAAAACATGTCCCATGATGAAAAAGCGTATCAGCATTAGTCTCTTCACCTTTAAGTGCTCATAACTGTTGCCTTTGGCTACATCATGCAGGACGTTTTCCTTCCATCATGATTTGTTATGTTTCCGATCTTTGCTTTTCATTTCCAAAAGCGTTTGGCCATTAGACGGCCCAGATGTACGTTTTCTCTGCCTATTCTCCACTTGTACCATCAGACTTATTTAGTTTGGTGTGTGGTTGTGCGGCTCATTCAAATGATTGAATCCCGTCCTCAGCAGGCCATCAAGTTCAGCATAAGCCTGTTAATGATCCATTCATATAAATCAGGTGTGTTTTAAGTGGGGAAACATGCAAAACATACAAGGCAGCGGGTTCCAAGAACCTGGATGAAGAAATCCTGTTCTAATGTTTGCTGGTTAATAAACAAACAGTAATCCGAGAACTTTTAGAGGACTTTGACGAAGACCTTTTGGAAAGCTGGAAAAAAACAGAGCAGTTGGCATAATGAGTCCAATCTGCACCTAAACTGGTTACAGTGTACCAATAAACTCCAATCATGTAGAGCACATATTGAAAGACATGTTCTCACTAATTAATGCAGGGCTGACGCCGTAGAAAACCTGATGCTCGTGCATATTTTCTTTAAGGCTTGGACAGCCTTCCGAGAAACAAAACTATAACTCATATAACCAGCCATCATGAGGGGTGTGGAGAGAAGGTTCAAAAATAACGCTGGAAGCTGCAGCAGAAGTCCCATGCAAATATGAACGAATCTCCGGGAGCTGCAGCGAGGCTTTTCTTACATGATGAAGATGGAACCCTACAGATTTATTAACAATAAGATTGTCAAACTAATATTGTTATCTGATAATGATAATTTAAGTAAATACGAAAAAGGAGGTTTTTAAAAGGTAACTTCATTAATAAAGGTGAAAAGCTATTTAAATCAACCTTGCCCAATGAGGGAATTCGACTTTCCTCTAAACTTTTATTACCATCCTTTCCGCAATAGATTATCATAACTGGAAGCAAGTCATTTACATCACTCCAGAAGAAATATGGCCACTCCTTTCAGTAGAAGTGTTTTAATGTAATGCAAATCCTTTTATTGTCCCACAATGTGGAAATTCGTTCTCTGCATTTTGACCTATCCCCATGGGGAGCAGTGGGCTGCCATTGTTTGGCACCCGTGGAGCAATCAGGGGTTAAGGGTTTTACTCAGGAACCCAGAGTCGAGGCTGTGGGGATCGAACCGGGTACTAGCAACTCAGTCCCATTTGAGGGTTTTCAAGCAAAAACCACCTGTTTTAGATTATATCAAAACATCCAAATAAGATTTAACTTCAGATTTTTCTAGTTCATCCCAATACCATCATTCTGTTTTCCTGGACCATTCAGATGTGGACTCGGTGCTTTGAATCACTCCTCCACTCGATAACAAGAGTGTACCTGAGCTTCAGCTTGATGAACTCATGATGGACGTGTCCTTGAACCAAATGACGTCACATTTCAATTCGGTTCAGTTTATTTCTATAGCGCCAATTCACAACACATGTCATCTCAAGGCACTTTACAGTTCACCAGATCATACGGTCAAATTGAGTCAAAGTTTTTTAAGGAAAACCAGTTGATTGCATCGACTCATTGACTCGAACACAATCCCTCACACTAAGCATGGTAGTAGCGACAGTGGACTCCCTTTTAACAGGAAGAAACCTCCAGCAGAACCAGGCTTAGTGTGAGCGGCCATCTGCCGAGGACGACTGGGGTTGAAGAAGAACATTTGGCCTCTGTGAGGCGTCCATGCAGACACTATTTCCCCACTATGGAAACCTGTAACTATGCAGATAGCTCCACCCAGAAAACACGATTAGCGATCAACAGCTCCTACTGGCGAAGGTACACAAATGCAAACATCCAGAGACGTCCTATGGGTTAGCCCATAAATACCACAACTATAAACAGATTGTTGAGAAACTCCCGGAAAGTAAGATCTTGGATCTGTCCTAGAGCTCCCATTAATGCAGAATGTCCCAATTATTCAATCTTAACTGGATCATGTGAGGCCTGCTGTTTTAGATGCTCTGATTTCTGTTTGTGACCTCATGGATCAGTCATTGTTGCACTCTTGGAGTAATTTAGGTTTGTTAGCTGCCCCTTGGAAGGTTTCCACTCATTCTATGCCTTCCCCCTGGATTACTTTTCTCACTGTGATTCACTGGAGTCCAAAACCACTGAAAAGGTGTTGGTGTTAGGAAGGTTCTAGTTAAGTGGTCTCTGGGTTCTACTGGCGTCCCTTAAATTAGAAAGAAACCAACATATTTTGGTTGAGAAAAAAATGTAACAAAAGGTAATCATTGTATTGTTGAACATGATTTTTAGAGAATTTTATAGAGAGTACAACAGGAAGTTTTTGATCTTTTCATATCACAATAATTCGTAAATGTAATGGAGGCTTAGAAGCTTAGACCAAAAATACTTAAGGGAGCATAGGGGGCAGAAACAGAAGGACCAGCAGAGAAACAAAACAGCCAGCTGATACTAGATGTCTGTGTGAAGTGCTGCGCTCCCACCGTGGCCTTTCCTGCCACAGCTGTCACCCTGATAACACCACAGACTTCAAAAGACTTCGGGAGCCACCAGCCAAAACATTACCACTGTGGGAATGGAGGAAGGAGCGAGTGACGGTGGAGGTGTACGACTCACCCCGCCACCACCCGCACACAAACAATTAAAACCACACAAACAAGTTCGTAGTCGCTGGGACTGCGAGCCCAGATTGCTTTACATCTCCAGAGAGGAGGCGTAAAATCGAAGCAGAGCCTGAAGTCTGAGCATGAAGGGAAAGCCACTCTGTGAACTTACCGGCCCGTTGATTGTAGTGTATTAGAGGAGATTTAAGAGTTTAGGAGGCAGAGTGACAAATTCCTTTCTTTACCAAGAGGCCGCCTCTCTCTGAAACAGCCCTGCCTCTGAAGTTAGGCCTCAACCATCCACACATCCCCGCCTTCCCCAACATTCAGGGATATAATAGGAAATTTTAGCTGCATGGAGTTTATCATCTTTCCTACAAAGGTTTCACACATCGCTTGACTTGATTTCCCTTCCTTGAGCTTTTGCAGCCGAATGCCTCCTTTCTCAAAGGGATAGTCTTTCCCTTGGTTGGCAGATTGTGTGTTGGGTGTGTTTTTACGCTGAAACACCAGCAGAAGATCTGCTTTGACAACATCAATTGGTGAATGAATGGAGGGAGGCTGAGTGTGTGTAATGCGGAGGCGCCCTTTGCTGTTCTACCGGACGTCGGTTGACCAACTTAAAGATCCTAATACCAAACTCTTTAGATTATATAGATTATTACCTTTTCAGAGGAATCCTTCTATTTTTATGGTAGAAATACCCGACCCATTATAAGCTTATTTATAAGACATGTGGAAGGGTGGGTAAATGGACAGAGGGATCAATGCTGTGGAGGAGCGATTTTATTTGAATGACCATGTTCGATGCATGCGTTATAGAAATTATTTCAGCCATTGTTCCTCCTGGCCCTTGATCATTTTCATGGTTACTTGCAGCATTTTACTGAAAACTTAGAAAGTATTGTCATTATAGGTATCTGGTAATCCAGACTTTGTGTCCCTCATTTCTTCTGTATCCGTTAGCAGTTTTAACAGTGTCGTAAGTACTTTGAAAGACTGGTGTCCGTTTTCTCTTTTCACGATGTTGGTGAAATATTTCACAACTTCCAAAATTTTTTGAGTATTATTCAAGATAATATCAGCATAAAAAAGATGGAGTTGAATTCTGTAGTAGTGTTACTGCAAAGAGAAGAGCAGAACCAAAATAAACCAGGGTGTTACAAAAAGGGGCTTTTGTGTAGAACGTTGAAGAGGCAAACATGCCCACTTGTAGTTGGTTAACCCGTGTCATTGGCGGCAACAGTATTTTATAAGTTGTTAACTTCTCTGTTTATGCTTCCGCCTCATTGGAAGGGGATCACTTATATGATCAGTTTTAATAAGCTAACAATGTTTTTCTGGTCATGAAACCTTATAAAAAGTGAAAAGACAGACAAAACAAGTAATCTAATAATGTGTTACATCGATTCCTTTTCTTTTGAGGAGAGCCTACCTTCTTTTACTGATTATCTTAACACAGAGTACTACTTATCTTCACCATTCTTATTGTTGGGATAAACATATAAAGCACTTTCACTAACGAGAAAGTTCAAGACTTAAAGTGTCACAAGTGGCTCTTTGGGGAATGTGAACCTATAACTGAGGAACAATGAAGGTATTTTCCATGAATTAGTGCAGCCACATTGTTTCTCATTAACGGTGATGCCATTAGTCACCTGAATGAATTAAAAGGGACCTTCGCTGTTCCGTAATCCACACTGAGTCTCTGCAGCTGGAGGAGGTGTCGGGTATCCCATTGAAAGGAGCATGCGGGGGACTGGGGGGGTTTACTGGTGGCATGTCAGGACACTGAAATCAGAGAAATCCCAAACACTTCCTGCTCCACATGTACTTCTGTTAGGTTTGGGAGAGGAATTTCATTCCTTCAGTTGCATTCTTACTTTCTGGTTGCACAGAAACCATCATGTAGCTCTCTCTGCTACATCTGTCCCAACTCTCATTCAGGGCTTATTTTCCCCTTCCAGGATAAATGGTGAGGTCTGTACAATAGTGATCAGAGGATCCAGA